ACTGTCACTGATAAGACCGAGACTTCAATGATCGGAGTCTTGTTGCTCGGTTGATCTCCTTTCATTTTTGCTGCATCCTAAGATCGGTGTCTCTTCTAATGTTCTATTCTGGCGACTTGATGACAGAAACCCAGAGGGCAAACCATCTCAACAACTTTGAGTAGTACTTTGAAACAGCTACGCATCTCGACCCATGACAATAGATTAAGGAAGAACTTCAAATAAGAACAGAAAATGTGACTTAATTACTAGTAAGTTTTTTAAAAAAAAAAACTTTTGGTGGCGACATTGAATCGCCGCTAAAATAATTACATAAATTATCTTTAATTTTTTAATTATTTTTTATAAAAATATTTTTAACAGCGGTAATTTATTGTCATTAAAAGTAATTTTTAGTTACAACAATTAAATATCACCATTGAAAAAGGGCCTTTAGTGGTAAAAATTAAATGTCATCGCCAAAGGTTTATTTTTAGCGACGATTTCTAATTGTTGCCGTCAAAAGTCTACCTTTGATGATTACTTTTTTTTTTGTTACTGTTAAAAATTACTGCCAAAAATTACTTTTTTTGCAGTGAGTCCAATCCAGTTTTGCAAACCATGTTGATTTCTCAAGAGACATTTTTTAAAAAATTTGTTCAAAATTGAAGAGATAAACCAAGTTAGGACTAAATCACATAAAATTGATAGTATAACATCAACCAGTAATTGATCAGAAAGTTCAACAATATTTACATCAGAAGCTCACACATACCGATTTATTCAAGGCCAGCAAGTTAAGAACCTATGGCTGTAGAAGGATCATTGAAATTAAAGAAATGTTAAAAGTAACCATAGTTAACCTCTTATAACAATTAATATATACAAAATTGGAGAATCTGTCCCAAGGGTTTGAATGGTGGGTCAAAAAACAAAATGGTTGGTAATGTGTCTTAATCAGTTTTATTTTAGAATGAATTAAGGAGAATTATAATTAGGTCCTGTAAAAGAGATTTTATTATTAAAAAATCTTATAAAATTCATAAAATATTTTTAAATTTCAAATCTTACCTTTTATAACTTGTCAAATAGGCATTTATAATTGAACAACAAACATTTATAACTTAGCTAAGTTATAAATATACAACATTTAAAATTTTAAAGTATTTTATGAATTTTATAAAAAAATTTAATAATAAAATATATTTTGTGGGACAGAACTGTATTATTCCCAATGAATTAAGTCTTTTTCTGGGTCGCTCGCTGCACCTCTCATGTAACATTGAACGCTTAATTTTATTATAGAAACAGACTTTAATAGATGTGACTGCTTTCTGCCAACGACAAATCTCCCCGTCTTTTCTACTCTGATGCCTTATTATATAATAATTGTTTTATCTTCGTCTCCAATTAATTAGATATTTCCCCGTAATTATTTTCTCCATTTCTGAAAAACTCCCTCTTTAAATTAAAGTTTTTCATATTTAGTGTGAATAATAATTTTAATTAATAATAATATTTTTCTCAAAACATATTGTCTAAAGTTATAATTAGCAGGTTCAGTTTTGGCCAAAAAATGTTTTTGATCTTCACGAGATTAATAAAGAAAATGCTAGCCCATCTTTTTCCTTTTCTCAGCTAATTTTATTATTATTATTTGTTAACATCAATGAAATGAATTTATCATAGAAGTTGGCTTGATGGAGGCATTTAAACAAGTCGTCGAAAGTTTAAATCAGACATTAATATATTAGAAAAGAAATTAATACAATTTTAGATTGCACCAGCTGACACGCTCCTCATATCATGTCATAAGAAATTACCACAAAACTTTCAAAATATACACCTTCTGTTTTAAATGTATAAAATATTTTTAATTAAATTTTATCTCACTAAATTAATTATTTATTTTAAATTAATTTTTTTATATTTATTTTTATTAAATATTCTATAATAAGTATAAAATTATAATCAGTAAGGATTTTTTTTTGAAAAAAGACAGTAATTATGGGTTAAAAAATTAAAAATATTTTATATTTTAAATATTTATTTTTTTATATTTTTAAATAATGTGAGTATAAAGAAACACTTTTGTTTTATGTACACACAGACACCCCAATCATCGCCGTCAATGGTTATGAAAACAACGAATCAGTCAAACTCCGCAAAATGATTTATTGGTTGATTACAAAAAACACAGAATCAATCAAAGTCTCTGCAAAAAAAAAAAAAAAAAAAGCAATCGAAGTCTACAATAAGCAGTGGCGGTGAGAGAAAGGCACGGTCCACGTCCTCTCAATTTTTAAAACTTTTTTATATTATATATACTTCTTTAATTTTTATTTATAAATTATTTTTATTAACTTTATCAATATTAATATAATAAAAATATAAAAAATAAATATATTATATGATATTATTTTTTTATTACTCCTCCCTTATTTTTTAAGGACAGCTTAAACATTTTATATAAAATAAAATATTGTTATCAATTCAATAATTTATAAAATAGGTTGTTTTATTTTTTAAAAAATAATTAATGAAGTGGATCGGAGGGAGTAGGTGTTATATATTTCACCTTTTAAAATGTATGAAACTTTAAATATATATATATATATATATATTAATTTTAATTTTTCTTATTTTTAAGTATTGGCTCCACTAATATGATTTAGTAGCTTGAACATGATGTTGACTTATCACAATGCATAAATTAAATCAATCAATGAGATTTATGTAAATCCACATTTTTTATATTATACATAAATGATATTTCGACATTAATAAGTCACATATTAAACATACAGGAAATGGCATTTTATAAGTATTTTTCTCAATAGCATACTTAAATAGTAACATAATTTTTCTTGCCCTTGAACCTGGACTTATCCAAAGAAAAGTAATATAATTTTAGATAATACTAATTTAAACTAATGAATATCTAGTTGATATTGTGTGTTGAACGTTAGTACATGTAGACAATTCTTTTATTAATGAATATGTAAGTAATATGGCATAACCTCAAACATAATGCTTCGTGTTTCAATTTAAAAAGAATGGAAGTACTAAAATTGCTCCACAATATTAAAATTTAGAGCAATAATAACTCCATCTTAAATAATTTAGGGACAAAAGTGTTTTTAACAACAGTTAATATGAAATTAATTGTTAGCATCGATGTGTTAGTGCGAGGTCGACATTGCAATAATTTTAACGCGGCTGCAACATCTCCATCAGTGAATTGTTTAGAATAACTATGCTCCTTATAATATAATTTAAAAACAAAAATACTCTTTAACTCTTTATTTATATAGATTTTTTTTAATGTGAATTTTTTCATATATAAATAAGAACCCCACTATGAATGACTACAAAAGCAAAGAATTAGTGCAAGGTCCACGAAATGATTAAGTAAACAAGCATGTTTTACCGGGAAAATGTGAGCTAGAATTATTGTCCAAAATGTGATCCAGTGTATTCTTTTTTGGGACAAAAAAAAATGTGAGTTAGTATATATGTTGACGGCGGCGGAAAACAATTTTCTAAGTATGTGATTATTGCCAGGGAAAATGATAATTAGGAACCCCATAAAAATATTAATAATAATTATAGACTTTAAATTATTGAAATATCAATAATCATTACTCACAATTAAAAAAATATAAATAGTTAACTAGAAAATCTAGTTTATTTGTACATTAGCTAATAATTTATAAGAATTAATTTTGAATCTTGATTTTTTTTGCTATCAATATACAAATAAATTATTTAAAAAATTAAGTAAATATATTTAAGATTATTTGTAACATTAGTTAGAAATTTACAAAAGTTGGTTGTAAGTCACGGGCTAATCATTTTTTATTTTTTTACTGTCAATATATAAATAAATCACTTGAAAAATATATAAAATACACTTGAGATTATTTATAATTTTAGTTAAAAATTTACTAAAGCAAGTTGTAAATTGGAACCTAATCACTTATAATTTTTTAATATCGCTCATAAAATTAACAAAAGATAGTTAAAAATATTTTTAGTGTTTGTTAAGAATTTACCAAAGTTTATTGTACTCCTTTGATCCTATTTGTAAATCACTTCTAACATATTTTACTAATATAAATAAAAACTTTAAAACTTATTAACTATGTTTTAAAATTTAATAAGTTCTTAAATTTGGTCCTATTAAATATTTATGCTTCAATAATATATTTTTTCTCTCCAACATTTAATGAAGAGTGAAAGAAAAAATTTGTGATAAAAATTTAATAACGTGATTTATAAATAAAGTCAAAAAAAATTTTTTCTCTCTATCCTATAAATAAAACTGAAAGTAAATATCAAGTCAATTAATAAAAAATAATTTATTATAATTAAGAATCATGATTTGTTATTAAAATTTTAATAATTTAGGGTTTGTAATTACTGTTAATATTCTTATAGAATCTAATTGTCATTTTCCCTCCCTGTTAACCGTTGTGCCATCCACGTTAAACTTGTAGGGAGACGCGTCCGGTTTCGGTGCCGCCATCACCTCATGAGCAATAAAGAAACTACGCGGTTTAAATTTGCAGATTTTATTTTTATATTTCTTAAAATAAAAATATAAATTTTAATAAATCTATTTTATTATCAATATATATATTGTAAGTCTAACCTGAATGGTTTCAATTCAATATTAAATATTTTTATAATTTTTACAAATTAACTATTTATATCTATTCTGAACAATTTAAATTTAAAATTTTTAAATTATAAATTTACTAAAACTTTTTTAAAGTATCAGTTTAATTTTTTATTTTTTAATAACATTTTTTACTAAAATAAAAATTCTTAAAAATTTAATATTAAATTCAGATCGTCCATAATATATGTATGCTTTTTTTATAATAAATATAAAATAAAAAAAATCTATATTTTTAATCTGACCGGGCAAAACGGAACGCGCTTGGAGACCGGGGGAGAGAGGAAAAGTAAATGGAAAAGCGGAAAAGAGGAAGGATTGACGCTCGGAGTCCACGTTCAATGCTTCACCAAACTCCCAACCTCGTTTTCTCCCTCGTCCCTTCCCTCCCTTCATGGTTTTCCAAACCCCCAAAAAAAAAAAAATGCGAATAAAAGAGTCGGTCCTCCTTGCACACCATTTTACTCACTTGCGGTTGGTTGGTTCTTTCTAGCCCGAAATCCAAATGGAGTATGTCCGAGCAGCCGTGAAGACAAGTCTTCTGTGGACGACAGCTCCGCCTTCAGTGCCCAGAATACCGCCCATTCCGACGACTTCTCCGTCGACTCTCATTCTGTTTCCCCCTCCATTCGTGATATCTCTACGGCTGTCAAGATAACCTCTTCTCGCCTCTTTTTTTTTTTTTTTTTCTCTTATTATCTTAAATATTTTTTTTTTCAATTTATTCCTGGATTTTTTTACCTATCCTATCTAACCTTTATTTGAATCATAAATTAAACTTTTATTCCAACAACTTTCACCCTGCCATGAAAGCTTCCCTCACAAGTCACAATCTGATATTGTATGCCATTCCATTCTCCATCTGCCTTCAAGCATGGATTCCTCAATTTCATTTGCAAGCACACTTGGCCTTTTGAATTTCATCCTTGTCCGATGTTAAGATGATGTCAACCGCGCCATCAAAGTCAAGTTTCGAAGTCCCCAAGTCACAAGCCATAAACAACCACGCCTCATGCATCTCTCTTACTGAGATTTTCCTTCCATTGATCACAGTCTCAATTTATCTCTCTCTCGACTCAATCTCCGTTCTATTCTTAACGTTATTCATATCTCTCAAAATTAACCCAATCCTTACTCTATTTTTCATGATCATTGTTTAATTTCTGAACTTTGTTTGGTTGTAATGGGTCTATAATTAGCAACCCCTTCACCTTTCCCTTTATTTTTCATTGGTATTTGTTTGCTCAAATACACATGTAATTTGTTTGAATTTTTTTAATATAATTTTTATTCCATTTACTACTGTAAATCTTGTATTTATTGATTTATTCTACTACCTAGGGGGGACCCAATGGAAAAATACATGTGCGTTGCTTTGGATCTGTCCTTCCCGGTGGGAGAAAATAGTGAGTTCTTTTTGCCAATATCACCTTGTCTCAATTAATGAATTTTATATGTTTTGACAATTTTGCCCCTTGATTGATTTCTCTCTTAAAAATTTTTGCAGCCAAAAAAGCAAGAATGCTATTTATTTCTTCTATTCACTCTGCTTTAAATATGATAGTTGTTATTATGGTTAATTGTTATGATGGCTCACCATGAAATCTATCCAATAAAGCTTTCTATCTCATTTTTATTATTTTTCATTATATCATTTTGATGACTAAGGAGATAAAGCATAAGTAAATCCTTTTTTATTATGTGTGTAGCTTGACAGGAACATTTCTAAAGAACAATTGTGTCAGTGATCGTCTGATTCTAGCCAAGGTCAAGGTGCGTGAAAAAAAGACTCAAATATGGTAAATTTGGATTTCCTCTTCACACTAAAACCTATATTTACATGTTTATTTATTTATGATTTTTTAATAAATCACAATATTCATAAGTTGTGAAAAATATTACATCACTTGTTTCTATATTTTTTGTCAATTTGTTTGATGCATGGGCCACACAATAGTTGGGTAAGGAAAAAATAACCCTAGATTGGTAGCTGCAAACATCTCATTCTAGCTTAGAGTATATATAGGTTCAATTTTTGACAAAAACCAATCGGTTCCACTAAGTTTAATACATGCGATTTTTACTTAATTGGTTTAGGTCAATTTGGTTCAAGTATAGTTCAAGCCATGATTTTTTTTCATTTTTTTTTGCTGAAATTTATATAAAGCATACTTGTTGACAATAATTAATTAGCACCATTAATTTTAAAAAAATCTCTTGAGGACAAGTGAGACTCCCTTTTTTTAAAGGAAAAGGACGCTATGAAATAGTTCAAACAATAATAGAAAAATTAATCATTTAATTGCTCAATCCTTCAATAATTATTTATTGTAACTCAATTCTTAAAATTTTTGACTTACTTATAATTCAATCTCAAATTTTTTTCACTATCAATAAAATTTGTCCTCATCCTCCATAAGTCAATCCATGTAAGTGCCACATCAAATCTCACGTCTATATAAACGATACATTAGATAATGAATTAGCATAAGAGATAGAATAGTAGGAACTATATTTTTTATAAAGGAAAAAGGTGATTTAATATATTATTTAAATTAAATATTCATCAAAAAAATATTTCCAGAATTGATCAGGGCTTGTTTAAGGGGTTCTCATACTTCTCATCATTCCCTTGTGTTGTCCTCATCTTCTTTATCATCTTGTGATATCCAAAAAAAAAAAAAAAACTAACCACTCTTTTGTACTTGGAACAAAACACATGGATTTGAATCATATTGAAGAATTAGTGGCACGTTGAAACTCATTTATGAGAACATTGATACTAGATTTGTCTACCACGTGAGATAATTCAAAAGGATCTTTTGTGGATGTTAACGGTGATCAGCAGTTGGAGCAACCCGAAAAACATTTACTCCCTCCATTTTTACATGTAAGAGAAACAATTACTTTTAACTTCTTTTTTTAATGTAAACAAAATCACATTTTTCAATAAAATATTTATTTTAAATTTTTTAAATTATTTCTCATAATTTTATCATTCATAATCATAAGAGATAATTAATGAATACTTAATTAATATAATTAATAAAAAGTATTCTAATTTAATTTTTTTATTTTTAAATACAATTAATATAATTAATTAATTTTTTTTAAATTGTGTAATACAGTTTTTTTAAATAAATAGAAGTGAAAAAAGTATTTATACATCCCCAGCTAAAAGGAGAACCGAGAAAAAGGACACAATCATTAAACATTGAAAGATTAGGACTGAGTTTCAGGCGAGTAAGAATCTAGGGAGAGAGTCGTACGAAGTTATGGTTGATGTAATGAGTTTTAAGTGAAAATGATTAACGACAATAATTTAACCCTAGATCAATAGCTCCTAGCCTCTCATTCCAGCTTTCCATCACTCAGTCTCTGTCGGTCAGTCGGATCGCCCTTTAAGCCTTGGTCTTGGCTGTCCTTTAAATCACCTTCTATCCTAATGGGCTCATGCCTTGGTCTTGGCTTACAAGGCATGAGCCCAATGGGCTCCGTCTTCACTGCCTAGCAGCCTGATTCTGCAAACCGTATTATCCCATAATAATAATAATTTAAAATAGAGAGGACCGTCTATATTTAAACTTTTAATTTAGATTTGGATTTTTATTTTACTTTTATTAAAATAAAATTTTATAAATAAATATATTTATCATTAGTTTACATATTTAATTTGAATTGTCTAATTTAATGTTAATTTTTTTATAATTTTATTTTAATAAATATAGAAGCAGCTTAGTATTTTGTCGAATCATTTCTCTTGGTCTATGTCTACTTCTCCTCTCTGGCCTTGTATTTCTCTTCTTTTCTGCAATTTGATTTAAAATGCAGTATGCTTCTGCTGCTCATTGTCTATTTTTGTTCTATCTCGATGTGGCCTCCCCTTCCCTACATTTAAAAAATCTAATAGCAGTCTCACATTGTTTATGACTGTGTAAATTCAAATTGATTTATTTTAATATATATTTGGATTTGGATTTTGCAAACATTTCCTTAAACTGACTAGCTAGAGTCCGAATCATTGGGGCTCATCATGGGCTAGAATAGACGGGATCAATCTACTTGTACTTGGGTTTGCTAAAGCATATTATCTTCTTTATTGTAAAGCCGAGTTTATTAACCTTCTTACCTTAACGGCTTAACTTTAATTATTTTTAAGAAAAGAGACACCACGTCCACAATTTTTTTTTTTCATGAAGTTTATTAAAGGCCCTTTGGAAAGTTTTAATAATTGGACGAAGTTAAATTTAAAACTTACTTTTAACAAGATTTCTTTACATACATGGATTTTTTTTGTATAATATAGATTTTTTTGCCAGAAATATAATATAGATTTGTTAAAAAGTACAGATTTAACTTTTAAGTTTTAACAAAGTTAACTGTAGATGAAAAGTCCTTATAAAAAAGACGGGAGGAAGTGTCAATTTGGAATCTTGTTTGCCGCTGACTCCTGGAAGATCGAAATCCATCTGGATGGTTCCTTAGGCTTATTGACTTATTCCATTACAGATCATCTTCATCATCATCATGACATCATCATCATGATGTTGCCACATGTCATCACAATGTTGCAATAATCACCTACAATTTTTTTTTTTTTGAGCAACATATTCCCTTATAATTAATTACAAAAATATTACCACATCAAATTAAATAATTTTATGAATATATGTATGGTCACTTATGAATTTAAGGAAGACCTTTTGTTATATGTGAATTTATGAAAAGTAAATTGTGAATGAATATGTAAAAATATGAGAGAGTTCTTAAATAATTTATTTACAATTAAAATTTAAACTATTTATATTCATTTACAGCTGAGACGTTCCATATATATTTACAATTAAAATTTTTTAAATTTACAATTAATTGCCCTTAAATCAAAAGTAACCCATAAATTCATGATACTATTTATTTATTTACCAATTAAATTTTCAGAACTTTACTATTGACATTTATAATAAAATTTATAAGTGACTATCCTTAAATTTATAAAATTATCTATCAATTTATAATTGACTTTTTATTAATTAATTCATGCGTAACATTACTTAAATTCACAACTATCTTTATTTAAATATATGAGTCATATTTCATTGGTTATTTTAATACTTATTTTTTGAAGTAACAAATGACCTTGATTTTTCCCTAGTAGTGAGTAATCTAGGGTTATTCCACATCTCTCACTACTTCATTATAAATATAGCTAGAGCGACACTGAATAGAAACCTTCACCTGTTCATCAGTTCTCTCGCAATGTCTTCCTCTGAGTCTTGTGATGGGGAATCCACGGAAATGGTTATGATTAGTGTTGAAAACAATCCTTTTAAGGAGACTAAAGAAGGAGGAGCAGAGAGTGAGTTGAAGCTACTATTGCCTTCTGACTCATCCAACTCTATCCCTTCATTCCCATACGATTCTCCTCTATCTGAACCTGCCCCTTCTTCTCCCACAACTCAAAACCACCAAGTTCATATCCAAAGTCCAGAACCCAGCCCGCAGTCTGCTGAGGCCTACCCGACCCACCCAGTGTTGGAGATAATTGAAAGTCAAGATCTTGTAAAGGTTATGCTAGGGTTGCTTGTGCCCATCTTGACAGGTCTAATAACTGCTAGCAGTCTTGATTCCCACAACACCATCGCCATCTACCTGGGCGTGGTTAGCCTCTGTCTTGCTTTTGCTTTCATCTTCAATGGAATCGTTTTGAGAAATACCCATTGCCTGTTTCTTCCTCTCTATATCCACGTTTCCTTCTGTTTTTGTCAACGTCATCAACAACATCAGGAAGAACAAGGCGAATATAGCGGCCCCCAAAGAGACAGATCCTGACAAGGCGAACAAGCCCTAGCTAGGATCGCATCTATAGCCATATATTTATATATATGCACAGGGGGCAAGGGCAATGCTCCTTTGTATTTTTTTTTTTGTTTTTGTAAAAAGTGTGAAAATTAGTTTTTGCCCCCCATGTTGATAAGTCTGGATTCGTTACTGTATATGCTCCACCATATATATATATATATATATTCAAAGCTGTGCCCTAAGCAACTTGTATTGCATCTATACATCCTCTCGTCCTCCTCCTTGATAATTTATTTGAACACAAAATTAAATTCAGTAAAGAATAGCCCCTTTAAAGTTGATAGCATATAAAGTCGGTGAAGTTAAATGCAAATTAATTATTGGTATAATTTTAGGTTTATCAACAATTTTAGCAAGACTCATCTCTCTTCACGGGTCTATCAACAGTGAGAATTTGCCTGATTAGTTGATTGGTTTTCATTAGTTTTATATATCTTGTGGATGTCCACTACTTCCTGAGACTTACTTAAGTATGTAGATCATACGTGAAATGGATATAGAAGAAATATGGTAAAGTTGCGCTATGCGAGCTAGAATTTGTTGCTATATATCTACCACTTTCTTCGATTTCTCGTTTGGATGGTGAAGCTTCTACACAAATTCAAGCGTAGGTTCACACATGCAAATACAGAGGTGCAATAAAAACACGTATTTTGTTATTAGAATTGGACTTGGGATTTTTTTAATCAAAAAGTAATATCAAACTCTTCCAAACTTAATGGTAATACAGAGCTGAGAATTGAACAGAAAATAAATAATATGAAAACAGTTGCCAAAGTGGCTGGAAGCGAGATCTTGTGAATGGATTATCACTAAGAGAAAAGAAAAGAAAGAACATAAAGCATACACTCGATTCATATATGATTGAGGGATTCTAGATCAAATATAAGTAAATAATTTTAAAAAAATCTCCAACAATGACAAACGAAACTAAATAAGTACAAGTAACTCTAATAAAAGATCTATTGTTTTACAATTTTGAATTAAAAATAACATTAAACTGATGAGTTGTGTGGAATTGTTGCATCTTAACTACAATAATTTTAATCCTATTTACATGACATTTTTTTATGTTTATCTTTATTTTTCGGCCTCATACTAAAAAATTGCTTTTATTACGGTAAAATTGAACATTTATTAAATTTTTAAAAGAAATTTAAGAGAATTTAAAATTTTTAATAATTTTAATAAAATATATTAAAAGTAATTTATAAATAAGATAAAAAGCGATCAAAATAGAAAGAATTATATTAAAGTCTTATATAAAAAATTAATTATTGTAAGATCATCTCGTTAATATTTGGCTTGTTTGACCAAACTTGAGTATTATAACAAGCCGAATAATAAGGCTCACTTTATCCTGTGTACATTCGTTTAATTTGCATTATTTTTGAGGGAGAATTACAATCAATTCTCACATAGAAAAATTAATGATTGCAAGGTCAATTAATATTTTAATTAAATTGCATCAAAAAGTAAAAAGCTATGCTAGGACAATTAATTTTTGGAGGTTGAAATTATATTAATGGCTTGATATAACTTTCCTAACCTATCTTCTGCTTCATACTCTTCTTTTCTAGTTAAACCATGCCATGGGTCTTGTTACTTATTAGGGCTTTTGTTTTAGGTACTACCCAGCCCCTAGGTCCAAACCAAATTGGTGTTTTGATGAGTGTGATTATACGTTAACTTAATGAATAATTATGTTTCTAGATGGAGTTCGATACATGAGTATCCTAATAATTAAAAGCTGAAAAGTGCTTCCTTTTGTGAACAGAAACACAAAATTAATTATGATATAGTACGAGTTTAAATGAAGATGTTCCAGGTACGTTCTCGTGTCACTGTTTATAAACATGAAACCTTTATGCTTTTTTTCATTTTTCTCGTACATGTTTGAATATTCTACAAGTTAACAATGGATTTTGAAGTACTCAAAACTAAAATACTTACTCGATAAGCTTACTTATTGCAATCAAAACCATTGAATCTTAATTGATCAATGTAAAAGAATTGAAATATATATAGCATGCAACTAGTCAAAATTGCAGCTCATTTGTAGAAACTGTAATATATTGATTGATGGAACTATATATGTTTTGAAACATGCAATATAATGCTCTCTAATTACAATTCTATGTTATTAAATTATTAAATATAAGTAAAAGAGTTAGAAATGGGTGTTTCTAAATAATTGAACTAATTATTGTGTAGATTATTTCCAATCCATTTATCGGTGGTATTAAGTTATAGCCGTCAGTGCGGACTCCATCCAGGAAGTTCGTTGACGTTGAAATTGGTTCATTTCAGACTCTTATCAAGGATCCTTATAACTCTCCGAGTTGTCTAAAACTTTTTCTTTAAAGCTAGGAAGGAGGAAAAAAAATAAAAATTGGGGAAAATAAAAGAAATTTTTTTTATATTGGTTTTCTAACTTTATGATAGGATGGGAAAATATATTTTTCTTGTAGTTTTCGCTCCAAATTATCTCTTCTCCCCATTCGATTTTCATTTCAAATAATGGAGGGTAAATTTTATTTTCGTTGATATGTTTTTTTAACTAACTAAACAACCTCTTAACTAACTATCCTCTACTGTTTAATTAAATTTATTGAGGATCATTTTAAAAATTTAAAAGCATTAAGGTTGGGATTCACTTTTATTTAAAAAAAAATATCTCCTCTACATTTTCTTCTAGAAGAACACACCATCCGCCACCCTTTCGGAAAAGAATCAGCACGCCACTTGAGACTTCAGAGCACCTACATGTAGCCACGTACCACCTGTACTTTTTTTGTCGTCTCAAGACTTTAACAACAAATGAAATGAAATTGTGCTAGGGAAGTTTTCCACTAAAAAGGAAATGGTTTGAAAAGATGCACTGGCACTTTATTTTTTTTTATACAGAGGTAAGGTTAGAAATTCTAAAATAAATATGTGTACAAAAGAAGTAAGAAAAATAAAATTACTACAGTACCCATAAAATATCTGTTCAAGAAAGAGTAAGCCTAGGGTTATGAAGGTGTAGTGGGCTTATTCATTTTCAAATTGAACAACAACGTATTGGGCTTTTGTGTTAGTGTTTCAACACGCCCCCTCAAACGAGAGACTAGGCTTTTCACGAGTTTAAGTTTATTTCTCAGTGTTAGAAAACAAGAATGACTCATTGCCTTCGTGAATAAGTCTACTAAATTCTCTGAAGAAGGAACATATCAAACTAGAAGCTTTCGATCAATCACTCTATCTCTGACAAAATGAACATCAAGCTCTATATGTTTGGTTCAAGCGTGATATACGGATTAGAAGCAAGAGTAGAGGTACTTAAGTTGTCACACCAAGCTATTAGGATATGATTTAGCTTAACTCCAATTTCTTCCATTAAGAACTGAAGCCAGGCAAGCTCGGTAGCAAGATCTGTAAGAGATCTATATTCTGATTCAGTGCTTGACTGGCGACAACAAGTTGTTTCTTGCCGAACTAAGCTATGAGAGTATCACCGAAGAAGACACAATATCCTCCAAAAGATTTCCAATCGTCTATGCAACATGCCCAATTGGCATCAGAAAATCCCTGTAAGTTAAGATAATTGCTTGATCGGATATAATATGTTAGATCTTTCGTTCCCTTTAAGTATCACAGTAGACGCTTCATTGCTTGCCAATGAATAGTAGTTGGAGCTTGTAGAAATTGGCTAAGTTTGTTAACCACAAACATAATATCAAGCCTGGTGTTAACTAAGTATTGTAACAATCCAATGGCTCTTCTGTAAAGAGAGATATTTGAAAGAGGTACACCATCATAAAGAGATAGATTTTTGTTCACTACCATGGGAGTAGGAACAAAGGAATAATTTGACATTCTGAATCTGTTAAGAAGCTCATCTATATATTTTTCCTGCTTTAGGTAAAGACCAATAGAATCTCTACATGCTTCAATCCCAAGAAAGTAATATAAATTCGCGAGATCTTTAAGAGGAAAGAGCACATTTAGTTCTCTAATAAAGTTTGAAAGTAGATTCAAATTGTGGCCAGTAATGATAATATCATCCACATAGATCAGACAAAACATAATATCTGGCTGTGTTTTGAAAAAGAATAATGAGCTGTCACATTTGGAATGAATAAACTGTCAGCTTAAAAGAGTATGTTTTAGCCTCTCAAACCAGGCTCTTAGAGCCTGTTTAAGTCTATAGATAGCTCTGTTCAACAAACAAATATGGTGTGGAAATCTCTTATCCACAAAGCCTTCTGGTTGTTTCATTAAGACTTTTTCTTGAAGAAAACCATTCAAAAAAGCATTGTTTATGTCTAATTGTTGGATTGGCCAATTGAAACAGACAGCTACTATAAGAATAAACCATAGGATATAGGGCTTTAGGACTAGGCTAAAGGTTTCATTATAGTCAATTCCTGGATATTGTTGAAATCCCTTTGCAATTAATCTGGCTGTGGCCTTTAGAAATGATCCATTAGAACTAAATTTTCTCTTAAACACCTATTTGCAATCCACAGGTCTTTCTTTTCTAGTAAAGGATACTAAAACCCAAGTTTTATTTTTGATAAGTGCATTGAACTCATCAACCATTGCTTTTCTCCATACTTTTGATTGTAAAGCTTTTTAAGTATTTGAAGGTTTAGTAATAATGTCACTTGATTTACTAGTAACTAAACCAACATATGGAGTTTTAGGTTTGAAAATACTTGACTTGCTTCTTGTAACCATCTTGTGTTGATTCTGATCTCCAATAGAAGAAATAGATGGTTGTTCAATTGTCTCAGTAATTGGTGCTATAGTAGAAATAGAATTTAAATTAGTAGGAATAGTACTAGAGACTTGAGTATAATCTTGAGCACTTTCACTAATATCTTCTTCTTGTATTTCCTCAATTATGATACTTTGATTATGCTATACTTGAACTTGAACTTGTGAATTTGCATTCTGTACTGGGAGAGTAGTAGACATAGGGCTCTGCTCAGTATGATGTTGAGCAAAATTTTGCTCAATATTTGGACTTGGACACTGAGTGAGAGGTAGAGATAAAAGTGGTTTAAAGAAAACATGAGGGTCAATTTCCTCTTCAGGTAATTTTTTGTTCATGAACCCCTCTGCAAATGGAAACGAATTTTCATTAAATGCTACATCTCTCGACATATATACCTTGCCAATAGAACTCAGACATCTGTACCCTTTATGATGATTAC